TGTGCAGCTCTGGAAGTCTGTTGCAACAGCGTTGGAGACCCTAAGCACCTCGGAAAACATTTCCCTCCCATGAATGCAATTCCCACCCAGAGCAAGAGGGGAGGGGAGAGTCGGAAGGCCCTAGGCGGTGAAGTAGTTCAGGGCAGCGAAGGCAGGGTGAGCAAGGTGGGGCGAGGGCCCTGGGAAGGCCCAGTCACCAGTCACTGACTCTCGCCTGTGAAGATCTGAATTTACAAAGGCTCCTATACCCCATGTTGAAAGGTCTTGCTTCATTGTAGGATCTTCACAGAGAGTTCCCCTAATACCGCAGTCCCCAACCCTGGCCAGTCTGGCCAGTTAGGAACCTGGTTGCACACCACCCCCTGAGCTCCGTCCCCCCCTCACCCCTACCCCATCCCCCCAATCCTGGAAAAATTGTCAGGCAGCACAGCAGGAGGTGAGTGGCGGACAAGCAGGGAAGCTTCCTCTGTATTTACAGCTTTACAGCCACTCCCCATAGCTTACAAAGCCGCCTGAGCTCCACCCCCTCCCTGTGAAAAAATTGTCTTCCATGAAACGAATCCCTGGTGCTAAAAAGGTTGGGGATAGCTGGTATTCTTGACATCTGCACACGAATGTTTATAGCAGCACAATTCACAATTGCAAAGATGTGGAAACAACCCAAGTGCCCATCAATACATGAGTGGATTAATAAAATGTGGTATATGTAGATCATGGAGTACTATTCAGCTATAAGAAACAATGGTGATATAGCACCTCTTGTATACTCCTGGATAGAGCTGGAACGCATTCTACTAAGTGAAGTATCCCAAGAATGGAAAAACAAGCACCACATGTACTCACCATCAAGTTGGTTTCACTGATCAACATCTAAGTGCACACAGAGGAATAACATTTCTTGGGTGTCGGGCAGATGGGAGGGGGGAGGAGGGGATGGGTATATACATACATAATGAGTGCGATGTGCACTGTCTGGGAGATGGACACACTTGAAGCTCTGATGGGGGGGTCAAGGGCAATTATACATAACTTAAACATTTGTACCCCCATAATATGCTGAAATAAAAAAAAAAGGTTGAGGACTGCTGCCCTAATATATTTTAAATGATTCCACAGCCTGGTCCCACCCCTGCTCCCCATATAAACTCTGGCTACACTTCCACTGATTCTTGAAAGGAGGCTGGCCTGGCTAGGCCTTAGGGAAGTCGCCTTTAAGGCCTGGGTACCCAAGTGAGGACTTTGGGGGGTATGGGAGGGGAGTGGGGTTGTGGGCCAGGGGACCAGGGTTTCATCTTTGTTGAATGATGAGGACTCCTCTTAATCTTTTAGGGGCCTTGAACTGACAGGAACTGAAAATCTCTTTAAAGAGCATTTGCCACACTTTGTCCTATTTCTTATTTACTTTCAATATTTTCCTAACTTCTCTAGGCAGCAGAGCAGCTTAAGGGATTCTAGTTTGAGGTTCTCCTGTGTGGACGGGCTTTGCCTGTTTCCAAGGTGGGCCAGGGCAGAGGCGCAGGGAGCCCTCCACCCCTCAACCAGTTGCACGGCTGGCCTGGGTGCTCCAGCTGGAATTACCCCCAAGTGAGTGTAACGGGCACTGCCATTTGCTGCAGACAGAGGAGGCACCCTGCCTCGGGGTCCCTGAGTCCATGGTGCCCCTGGCTTTCTGTCACAATATTCACCTTCCAAACTGATCTAAGGTTCTCCCCTGAGTAGCCTTTGATTGGTGCTAAGCAGACCACCTTCACTCATGGCCTCCCTCACCACCCAGACTGGCAGTGGCCCTGGTGGATGAAGCAGGTCTAATCACCTTGGACACAAGACACTGAGGCTGGGAGAGCTGAGGTGAAATGGCAAAGGGCATACCAGGAAGTCAGAGACATGGCCCAAAGCCACTACCTTGTCCCCTCCTTGCAGCCTTACCCTCACTTCGCCTTATCTCTTTTCTGTTACTCAGTAGACAGACACTACATGTACATGAATGGAATTATGAGTTTCTGCTGAAGCAGGAGGCCTCAGCGTGTGCTCAGGCATGCCGCCAGACACGGGAGGGTGCTGAGGAGAAAACTGGGCTGTGAGGAGCCTCTAAGCAGAGTCTCATGGGGAAGAGGTGGAGGAATCAGGGAGGGGGGGTTGCGTCTAAAGAAGATATGGAAACTTGGAGTGGTGTGTGTTTGTGGGGGGCAGGAGCAGGGAACCATGGTGACCATCTTCAGATTTCCAACACTGTGAGTGATGTCACAGTCAAGTTCTGCCAGGTTGTGACGGCGACCGCAGGTTCACCTTTAGGCCAGGTGCTTTAGCTCCACGGAAGGAGTAGCTTTCTTGTGAGCAGAGATGGAAATACTTCCTGTGCAGAGTAGGAGCAAACCTTTCATCATTCGCAGTATGTGCACAGAAACAGGACACCCTGGGCAGGGCTGTGGCAGCGGGGTGGGGAAGGCAGGGTGTTGAGGGTGATTTCTGGGCACCACTTGCTGTAAGGTAAGGTCTTTTCTGGCTTAGAGATGCTCTCACTTTTCTGGTTTGGCCTTTAAGCTGCCGCCTCTGGGAATGCTCTGGGTGTGCCCACATGCGAGTGTATATACATGTGCTGCTTGTGAGTAGGTGTGGGCTTGTAAATGTGACCCTTGCCATCCACCCAGCGGCCTGCCAAATAGTGCCTGGTGGGCTGTGAAGCTGACTACTCTGGTTCCTCCATCTTGTCTCTCAGCTGCTAAGTGCAACTTCCCGGTGTGGCCATTTGCCAGGCAGGGCTGAACCAGAGGGAGGCCCTACCCATCCTGAGACCCCAGTTTGAATCTCTGGCCTAGAAAAGCCTGACAACCTTGAGAAGCGAAGGTACTCTGGCAGAGGGGAGGTACTGGTCAGATCACATGTGGAAACCCTGCTGCTCTATGAGCTGGGTAAAGACTAGGGAGAAGGGAGGCCTGGGAAGGTCAGGCCATGGAAACCTGGTTGTAGAAGGGGCTGGTGCTGTCTTCCTGGAGAAGAGGTCTAGCCTGCCATGAACTCTCTGAAAGGTGAGGGATTGGACTGTGTGAAGGATGGTGACCCCAAGGCTCAGAGATGGCTAGCAATGGAAGAGACAGCCAATAAGGAAGGTGGTAAGCTCCCTGTGAATAGAGCTATGCAAGCAGAAGGTAGGCAGCCACACAGCTGCTTCTAACAGGGCAGAGGGTTGGATAAGGTGGCCTTAAAATCTCTGAACTCCTGAGGGTCTGTAGATGGGGACCTGGGATAGTGACTTGATATCTGCTGGCTCTTGTCAAAAGCAGCACTATCTTTGCTTTTGATCTGGATTGGATCCCTAATGATGGAAACCTAAGCAGTTCCAGTTAGAGAGGCTCAGGCTTGGCCAGGAGGCTCAGAGAAGTTGGCAAGAGCAGAATAGGGGCGGAGAGGCAGGTGATGTGTGAGGCCAGATCTCAAGCACACCTCAAACTCAGCCACAGTTTCTGGAAACAACATTTGGAAAACTCATTTTCTGGTGGATCTCATTTCTGAATATAGCAATCAAATAGCTGACTCTCTTGACCTCTTTCAAAGTGCTTTAGAAAGGGAACCTTCTAAAGAAACAAACAAACAAACAAACTCACAAACTCATGACATCTTTTCCTTTGCATTATTTTCTCCAAATTTCAGCCCTTAAAAGTTTACTATCCTCCTTTTTCTCACTCTTCCATTCTTTCCAGGAAGCTAGTGGTACCTCAAAGAGGCAAGGGTTCTCAGATATTTTTCAAACAGGTCTGATACCAGTATTTGGAGTGGGACATTTCTTCCTTGTGTGCGACTGTCCAATGCAAGTAGGACATTTAGCATCCCTGGCCATCCCTTCTCCCTATTAAATTCCAGCAACACCTGACAGTCATCTGAGCAAAGTCCCCGTGAATTTCTGAACATCCCTTAGAGAGGTGACACTGCTCTCCCCACACTTTGAAAACTACCGCCAGAATCCCCCCCAAAGGAAGTTACTTGCTCAAGGCCAGACTACGAGCCAGTTGCAAAGTCGAGACCAACTCAAATCTCATTCATTCATTCCTCCATTCCAAGCACTTTTATTATTCGCCAGGGGGTGTGTCAGGAGAGCAGAGGGAATGCGGGCCTGAACCAAGGCAGTCAAGAAGATTAGAATAAAAGTGTTATTCTCTGCCCCCAAAAGTATTAATACAATTTCTCCGCTCTTGCCAAGTTTCGCGTTTTCCTCTTCTAGCCCGCCTAGCCCGCCGTTTGCGCAATTGTAGGCGCAAATAAGGACTTTCTGGCAATTAGTGTTAAGAGCCTAGGAGCTCGCACGATCCATAGGAGCGGAGTCAGGCCCCTTTTGGGTAGGCAGTGGGATCCGAGGGCCGAAATCCCGAGGTTTCGGCGAGGAAGGAGCTGCGCTCCGCCGGGCATCGAGGAGCGAGCTGCAGCCGGGCCCCTGCCGCGGCTGAAACTGGATAGAGGTGGAGGACCACTGGCCCTCGCTGGTCGGCCCGGGGAGTTTTCCCGGGCAGAGGAGCTGACTGGGGGCCAGGGGCCAGGGGCCAGGGGCCAGAGCCGGGGGCGCCCAGGCCGCGGTGCAGCGGGAGCAGAGGGCAACCCTGCTCGACCTCGCCTTCCCACGCCAGAGGCCAAGGCCTCCGGGAATCGCGGGCCGCTTCTCCAAAGTCCTTCGAGATCCCAGCTTGGTGCGAGGAGGAGGTGGCGGGGGGTGCTGGGCAAGCAAGAATAATATTATTATTCCTCTGTTTTGCCTCCGCAGCCTGCGCCGGCGGGTTGTTCTGTTTGAATGAATGATCCCAGAGGCCGCGCCCAATGGGCGTCCGGGCCTGCTTAATATGCATGAGGCCCGCAGCCAATGGCCGGGCGAGGAGGCTGTTTTAAACGGCAGAGCCCGCTGGCCAATCAGGCGGCTCTCGTGGAGGCAGCTAGCGCGAGGCTGGGGAGCGCTGAGCCGCGCGTCGTGCCCTGCGCTGCCCAGACTAGCGAACAATACAGGTACGTTTCGCACCGCCCGCGCCCGCCGCCGCCGCCGCCGCCGCCGCCGCAGCAGCAGCGCCCGCACAACTTTCCGGCCCGCGCTGCCGCGAGCGCGCCCCACCGCCGCTTGCCCCTGCCTCTCCTCCCCGCGCCCTTCCCACCCCTTCGCCTTCCCTCTTGCTAGGTGGCCGGGAAGGAGGAAGCAATTCAGGTGTTTCAACTTTTCCACTGCTTTCCCCCGCGCTCTCTCTTTCGGGGGTCGGCTCCCTACGCAGTTCCCGCCCGGCGGGGGCCTCCAGGGACAGCGGCCGAGAAGCCAAGGGCCCCGGGGCCAGATGTTCCTGCGGCTGTGGCTGCGGGCTCCGGCGGCTGTGGCTGCGGGCTTGGGCGACGCGCGTCCCGGCGCTGGGCGGCGGCAGCGGGAAGGGGGCCGGGTGCTCCCCGGCCCGGGACTGACTCCGCGGGGGGCGGACGGCCGGTGCCCGCCGGGGACTGCAGCGCCAGCAAACTTCGCTCCCGGCCTGGGCCGGGCGCCGCGCGGGCCCGCGGGCCCGCGGGCTGCGCCGCTGGCTCCGCATTAACATGGCCGTCGCGGAGCGCCCGGCGGCCCGGGGGGCGCGGGCCGGCGGCCCCCCGCTTGCCTCCCGCCGGCTGGGCGCCGCCGCCGCTAACATGGCTGGCACTGTGCTGGGCTACAGCAAGGGGAGGAGAGGCAGGCGGAGCGGGCGGCGGGGGCACCAGGCGGGCTCCGGCCTCGGCCCCGGCGCCCGCGGCCCGGGGCGGGTGGCGAGGAGGGCCGGGGGCGCCGCCGCGGGCCCTGGAGCGGCCAAGCGTCATGGCTGCACTGGCGCCTTTGTTATCCCGAGGAGTGCGCCCCGCGCCGGGGGGCGGGGAGGTCCGGCCCGCGGCCCCGGCGCCCCCGGGCGGCCCGGGCGGGGCGGGGCGGGGTGGGGGTTGGCGGACGGAGGTGGCAGGGCCCGGGCCGCTTTGTTCGCCGCCGCCGCCGTTGTCGTCGCCGCCTGCGCCGGCCGCGCGCGGATCAGCCATTTTAGCGAGCGGGGCTCGGAGGCGCGGCGGGCGCTACCACCACTGCTGCGGCTGCCGCTGGCCCGGCCGCACACCCCCCGCGCGCCGCCGCCGCCGCCGCCGCCCCCGGCCCCGCGCGCTCCCCGGGGGTGACAGCAGCGGATTTCAGGGGCACTTTCTTTCATCAGGAGGCTTTTGACAAAATGGAAGGTGAATTACGGGTGTCCGGGTGACCCGGCACCAGGGCGAGTCGGGCTGCCCACTGCCGGCCGGGCTCCCCCGCGCCGGGTCCCGCCCCACCCGGGCCGCCGCTGCTGGGCCCTAATGCAGCCCCGCGGGCAGTCGCTGCCAAGGGGAGCGCTTTAGTTTTACATGATGACCTTGGGTGTGGGAAAAGGAAAAGATGGCGGGAAGCTGGGGGGGTGGGACAGGGACGATGACACGCCACAGCTGCATTTTTATTTGGAAACTTTGGAGAAAGTATTCCTGGCTGGACCTGCATTCTGCGTTAAAGATGAGCTGGACTAGCCCTTTGATATCCCCTCCCCCTTTACATAGTGACGAATAGTACAAGGGGTAACAGCTCAATTTCCAGATCACCCTTGTTATAAAAGAGCCGTTTTTATAAGCCAAAATGCGTCAACAATACTGGCATTTCAGATGTTCCCTATTTACAGTTCTGCTTTGATTTTGTGTTTAGCAGTGGTGTCGGTATTTTTTTTTTTTTTACATACGGGTTAAACAGGTGACCAGTTAGCCTTAAGTTACTGATTTCAGTCTTCTAATACCCCCCCGACACACATACACGTACACGTCCTCCCCATACCCTTCCCACTTTGGTTATAGTTTCCAAAATGTAGTAGTTCTGTGGTGTAGCGCTGAGCACACCCCAGTTGGGTCGGCTCCATTTGGAGAACTTGATCGCTCTTGAGAAGTAACTTGCAAACCAGCGCGCTTCATGCTGGTCAAAAGTTAAATGACAAGCGACAGTGAAGCTGATTTCATTCCAACTCTGCCTTCTGCCAATGGTGTCAGGCATTGAGGGGAGGGGGCTTCCTAACAGCAAGCTTAATTTTAATTTTACTATGCCTTTGGTGTATCTTGTAGTTTCTTCAATTCTTTGCTGTTTTTCCTCATTGTACTTTTGTCTCTCTTCCTTCCATCCATCACAGTCAAGATGGCTAAAGGTGACCCCAAGAAACCAAAGGGCAAGATGTCTGCTTATGCCTTCTTTGTGCAGACGTGCAGAGAAGAACATAAGAAGAAAAACCCAGAGGTCCCTGTCAATTTTGCAGAATTTTCCAAGAAGTGCTCTGAGAGGTGGAAGGTATTTTCCTTTTGTATCCTTCAAACTAGTCTAAGTTGGACTTGACACTTCAGGATAACTTACCTTCGAAGTCCCTCCAGATGGCTCCTTTCATTCTCTTACCTTAGACTCATCTTGCTTGCCTTTAGAATTTTATGCCTTTAGAATTTTATTGCCTTTTGTTTTTTTTAAGGCTCTACAAGGGTTTAAGGCCTTCATCCCCTTTTACAAGTGGTTCTAGCAGCTGCCACTTTAATTACAGGACAACTGAACAGGTATGTGCTCACTGCATTGAGGAATTTAACAAGTCCTGTTCTTTGCAGACGATGTCTGGGAAAGAGAAGTCTAAATTTGATGAAATGGCAAAGGCGGATAAAGTCCGCTATGATCGGGAAATGAAGGATTATGGACCAGCTAAGGGAGGAAAGAAGAAGAAGGACCCTAATGCCCCCAAAAGGCCACCGTAAGTGACTGTAGGATTCAAGATAACAGTTAAGAGCTTTTCTTCTGCTTGAAATATTTTTTTAAACATCTTTTACCTAAAAGATGTTGCGATACCTCTGCAAAACATTCTGTACTTCGAGCTTTATGATGCAGTGCCGACATTGTCCGTACTTAAGACTGAGGTACTTGCGGGCTATGTGCATGTGCACGGTGGTTGCCTGATGGCCTCTTCCACTGAGAAGGAGGCACCCTATTTCTGGGTGTCAGGGTCCTCAGGTATGTTCTTTAACACCTTTCCCAGTAACTGAAAGGCTGAGAAAGCACCATATATTTCAGAGGTATCTTAAACATTCTAGAATCCACAACTTTGTAGCATTGTATATGGTATCATACATCTCTTCACTTTAGGGAGAAGTCATAGTGGTAGGAAGTATGTGGACCAGGCGTGTGGGATTTCAACTTTAACTTGTGTTTTTGTCGTTTCTTAACTAATTTATGTAATTCTCTCCCCCGAGGTCTGGATTCTTCCTATTCTGTTCAGAATTCCGCCCCAAGATCAAATCTACAAACCCTGGCATCTCTATCGGAGATGTGGCAAAAAAGCTGGGTGAGATGTGGAATAACTTAAGTGACAGTGAAAAGCAGCCTTATATCACTAAGGCTGCAAAGCTGAAGGAGAAGTATGAGAAGGTAAGGTCGCCGGAGTGTGCCAGCTCAGTCGTGGGCCAGTCCGGTAGCCTGCACTGATGAACAGTCAGTGGCCCTGGTATCAGTGGGTTGTGGGGTGTATAGCTGCTCTGCTGGGCTGAGTACTTAGCATAAGCGTAGCACAGGCAAGGCCCATCTCTCTGCAAGATCAGCCACTTGTGCCTGGTGCTCACACTTCCGACTTGCGTTTGTCTTGGGGACAACTTCAGGCAGGTTTCAACTAGATAGATAACTGGATTTTATAGTGCTATTAATATGACTTAAAGGACACTTAAACACCCATTAACTTTTAAATTTGAATGGCCAAGAACTAAATTTCTATATGGAAAAAAATACTTCAAATACATACAGCAGCAGCCCTCTCTTATCATTTTCAATTCCTGCTTTCTTATCTGAGGCAAGGACTGCATGTTTCTTTCTACCTTTTGCTGAAACAGCTGCAGAGGAGCTTGTCTACTCATTTGGAATGTGTCCCTGTTCCCTCCAGGATGTTGCTGACTATAAGTCTAAAGGAAAGTTTGATGGCGCAAAGGGTCCCGCTAAAGTTGCCCGGAAAAAGGTGGAAGAGGAAGATGAAGAAGAAGAGGAAGAAGAGGAGGAGGAGGAGGAGGAGGAGGAGGATGAATAAAAAACTGTTTATCTGTCTCCTTGTGAATACCTTAGAGTAGGGGAGCGCCGTAACTGACACATCTCTTATTTGAGAAATGTCTATTGCCCTCATTAGGTTTAATTACAAAATTTGATCATGATCATATTGTAGTCTCAAAGTGCTCTAGAAATCGTCAGTGGTTTACATGAGTGGCCATGGGTGTCTGGAGCACCCTGAAACTGTATCAAAGTTGTACATATTTCCAAACATTTTTAAAATGAAAAGGCACTCTCGTGTTCTCCTCACTCTGTGCACTTTGCTGTTGGTGTGACAAGGCATTTAAAGATGTTTCTGGCATTTTTTTTTTTTAATTTGTAAGGTGGTGTTAACTATATGGTTATTGGCTAGCAATCCTGAGTTATCAACTGTACATATCTATAGTTTGTAAAAAGAACAAAACAACCGAGACCAACTCTTTCTGCTTCTTGCTTGGCATTGAGGCTGTGGGGAAAGATGCCCTTTGGAGGGGCCTTAGCTCAGGGCGCGCACTGTGAGCTGGACCTGTTGACACTGCAGCGGGCATCCGTTTAGCTTCAGGTTGTCTTGTTTTTGTATATAGTGACATAGCATTCTGCTGCCGTTCTTAGCTGTGGACAAAGGGGGGTCAGCTGGCATGAGAAGTGTTTGGATTCTTTTTTTTTTTTTAAGTACGGTAGTTTTTAAACTGTTTGTTTTAAAGCAAACTGTAGAACTCTTCATTGTCAGCAAAGCAGAAGAGCCACTACATCAATGAAAGTTCAAGAACCTTCTGTACTTAAAACACATTTGCAACGTTCTGTTATTTTTTGTATTTAGAATGCTGAAATGTTTTTGAAGTTAAATAAACAGTATTACATTTTTAAAACTGTTCTCTATTATAACAGTGTAAATTTCTGACTCACAGCAGTCTTAGAAGTGAAATAACTCCCACTCCATTGTGTTTGGAGACTAGCCTCCCTATAAATGCGGTTAACTTTTCTTTTAGTCAATGTGTCCAGCTTACTTAGGGCTGAGATGGAGAGGGCTACTTGAAGTTACTGCGTGATTTTGTGTCTGAGTGGCATTAAAATGAATGAAGACAGGGACAAAAGCAAGGTTCAGCAGCTTTCAGAGGTACCGGAAGGTGGGTGGTTAAGATAGAGGCTGACTGTCTAGGTTTGTTTTTTTTCCTCCCACCTCCACTCCCCATTTAGTGGGGCCAAATGCATTGCTAAACAGCAAAAACATCTTTCAGAGTGTGTGGCACATTAAAAATCCAGGCCTTATTTTTCCTCTTTGGTGCCCCCCTGCCCACCGGCATGTATAGCAGAACCTTATTTGCTGTGTGCAACCTTCGAGGAGGGCATGAGCTGCTGCTTCTGTCTCCTGGACCCCAATTAGGGGAGGTGGGGTGGGGTGAGATGAAGGGGTAAGGGACAAAAACTAGTTCTACTTTACTCCTTCAAAACACCAAGCACCCCAAGGGAGACTGTAGGCTCTATTGTGGGTTACCTGAGCTATAGGGCAGGCTGATGGGATCAAGCATTTCTAAGCACTAAATGTATCATGGAAAGTAGGATGGCCTACTTGCTGAGTTCATTGAAAATGTAGATTGTTGTCAATGCTATTAAACTGGAAGAAACTTAGTTTGTGTTTCAGTGGTTACATTAGTGGATGCTGTAACATTTTGTCCAGGTTGGGGTGAGGGGAGATGGCCACAGTGGCAAGTGGTGATATTAAATAACATTTTGAAGGCTGATGTGTACATATATCTTTACTGTCTGTAGTAATGAAGGGTATAGGACTATGTTGTGGCTGAGTGTTAGTACTGCCCAGCATTAATACTTGGATGTGTATGTTTGAGACTATGAAGCACGTCAGAGTGTTTTTGTGGTATTAGTTATATTTTAAGAGAAAGGATTTTCTTTAAAATTACTGTTTGGAACCTTGCATGTCTGGAGACAGTGTCCTCTCCACCCTGTCAGGTCCTGGATGGGTACAAGTCATGGTCATGGTCACAGCCTGATCTCTGAGTACTCATAGCCCTTTCACATCAGAACTGTTTGTCCTAAATGTGTTTCTCTAGTTCTAGAAAATGACCACTAATTTGAAAACTTGGTCGTGAGGTTTGCCCAGAGGCTCTTGTTCCAGAATTGCCCCTTCTGCCCTTGTCACTTGGCATTCTAGGCTAAAGCTGCTGCTTTCCAATACACAGTCCCAGGACAAGATTTTGGAACTGTGGCCAGCCTCGTCAAATATGGAAGAGAAATTCAGCCTGTAGTCACAAGGGAGCGATTTCTTGCTAAGTGATGCCCCTCTTTGTGGTTGTAACTAGACATACCAACTAGGGAAGGGCAAAGACTGGAAGAGGGTGACTTTTTTTTTGTGCTCCCACAGTAGCTAAACAGAAGTAGGGAAGCTGTTTAGCTAACTAATCTTTGATTAAGCAAACATTAAGTTCTAAAGAGACTCAGGTTGAGGCCACTTGATCCATTAGCTGCTTGCAGCAAGGCCACTACTTTTGAGGTTTTCACATCATCACAAGATTGTCCCTCTAATAGAATAATGCCCTATACCTTCTCTGAGATGCTTTAAGTGGCATGTTACCACCTAAGGCCTAGGCTTAGCTTTACTTTTGGGCCCACTGTATGTGTTCTTACAGTGCCAACCTGTTGCTCTTTTTTTTTTTAATCAAAAGGACAGTATCTGCTTCCTCTAATCACCTTTCTCTTTCAACTCCTTCACCCTGTTCTTGAATGACATTATATCCTTTGGAAAGAACAAGGCTGTGATGTACTAACTATTGTCTGTGTCTCCTGTGTGTCTGTTCTTGTCACAAATGTATTTGGGGATGTTGGATGCATTCATTTTCTGTAATAAAGTTTCTTAATCAGTCTTCCCAAAAAGTAATCAGTGGGCTGTCTGCAATCTGTTTGAGATACTGAACCTCTGTATTTGTGGTTGATTATAATCAAGGTTTTAGAAGCACAAACTTCACTAGAACCACAGATCTGAACTACTAATGTTTAATGGAATGATACCATCAAAAAAGGGCAAGTGTTAAGGACTCTAAAGCCCCTAGGTCAACCTCTTAGAGGGATAGAGGAGGAGCTGGCACTGGAGCCCTGTGTCAGGATAAATATGCCATTTATTGGATGCTAATGGCCTGCTGTTTGATAAAGTGGCTGGGTACTTGTAATCAGCCAGCCCTGCCAACCAGGGCTCCTTCAGGTTGAGGGTCGGGGCTTTGTTGGCTAACAGAGCCATGCCCAAGGAGTTGTGGATGAGAGCCATGGACACCACTTACTGTTCTTCGTTCCCAGCTCAGTTTTCTGTGGAGCCCAGGGCTACCTGGGAGGGAAAGGCCATAGAACCAGCTTGGTAGCCCTGGGCTTCCCTTCCTGCTTCAACCGGAACAGCCCCCCACCCTGATTTGTATGTTGGGTGTCCTAAGATTTCAGCTTTAAGAAGAAGCTGGGACACCATATCAATAAAAGGAAAGGCAGATGATCATCTCAACAGACACATAAAAAGTGTTTGATAAAATCCAATACTCATAAGAACACTCAGAAAACTAGGAGTAGAAGGGAACTTAGGAAAACCCACAACTAATGTACTCAGTGAGAGACTGAAAACTTTCCCCCTAGGTTCTGGAATAAGACAAGGATGCCCACTTTTGCCTCTTTTATTCATCATTGTACTAGTAGTCTAGCCAGAGCAATTAGGCAAGAAAAAGAATTAAAACATCCAGATTGGAAATGAAGAAATAAAGCTATATCTATTTGCAGATGACATCTTTTATATAGATAATCTTAAGAAACTTCTAAATAAAACTATTAGAATAAATGAATTCAGCAAAGTTGCAGTATACAAGATTAATACACAAAAACTAGTTGTATTTCTATACGCCAACAATGAATAATCTGAAAATGAGACTAAGAAAATAATTCTAGGCCGGGCGCGGTGGCTCACGCCTGTAATCCTAGCACTCTGGGAGGCCGAGATGGGCGGATCGTTCTGAGCTCAGGCGTTCAAGACCAGCCTGAGCAAGAGCGAGACCCCGTCTCTACCAAAAAATGGAAAGAAATTAATTGGACAGCTAAAAATATATGTAGAAAAAATTAGCTGGGCATGGTGGCGTGTGCCCGTGGTCCCAGCTACTCGGGAGGCTGAGGCAGTAGGATCGCTTGAGCCCAGGAGTTTGAGGTTGCTGTGAGCTAGGCTGACGCCACGGCACTCGCCCCAGGCAAGAGAGTGAGACTCTGTCTCAAAAAAAAAAAAAAAAAAGAATTCTATTTATAATAACATCAAAAAGAATGAAACATTTAGGAATAAACCTAATAAGTGCAAAACTTATGGGGAAATCTATAAAACATTAAAAAAAATTGAAGACCTAAATAAATAGATATCCCATGTTCATGTATCGGAAGACAATATTGTTAAGATGTCAATATTCACGAAATTGATCTACAATGCAATACAATCCCTATCAGAATCTCAGCTGGCTTCTTTGTGGAAATCAACAAGCTGATGCCAAATTTCTTTTTTTCTTTTCTCTTTTTTTTTTTTCTTTCCTCCCTCCCTCCGTCTCTCTCTCTCTCTTTCTTTCTTCCTTCCTTCCTTCCTTCCTTCCTTCCTTCCTTCCTTCCTTCCTACCTTTCTATCTTTCTTTTCTTTCTCTCTCTCTCTCTCTCTCTCTGTGTATCATTCTTTCTTTTTTTTTTCTTTCTATCCTTTTCTTTAGAGATAGGGTCTCTATCACCCAGGCTGGAGTGCAGTGGCATGATCATAGCTCACTGTAACCTTGAATTCCTGGGTTTAAGCAATCCTCCTGCCTCAGCCTCCTGAATAGCTAGCACTATAGGTGTATGCCACCATGCCCAGCCAACTTTTGTGTTTCAAACAATACCACTAGGAAAGTGAAAGGCAACTACAAAATGGGAGAAAATATTTGCAAACCATATATCTGATGAGGATCTAGTATCCAAAATATACAAAGAACTATTACAACTCAATAATAAAAAGACAACTCAATTTAAAAATGGTCAAAATATATGAATATATATTTCTCCAAAGGAGATGTACAAATGGTTAACAAGCACATGAAAAACTGCTCAGCATTATTAGCCATCAGGAAATGTAAATCAAAATTATAATAAGATACCACTTCACATCTACTAGGATGGCTATAATAATAACAAGAAAATAACTAGAGTTGGCGAAGGTGTGAACAAATTGGAGCCCTGATGCATTGCTGGTGGGAATGTAAAATGGTGCACTTGCTGTGGAAAACAGTTTGGAGATTTCTCAATAAGTTCAACAGAATTAGCATATGACTCATGAATTTCACTCCTAGGTATACACCCAAATAATTGAAAACAGGTATTCAAATACTTGTACATGAATATTCATGTAGATTATTCTTAATAGCCAAAAAAGTGGAAACAATCTAAACATCCATAAAGCGATGAGTGGATAAAATATGTATGATGGAACATTGTTGAGCCATAAAAAGGAATAAAGTACTGACACATGCTACCACATAGATGAACCTTGCAATTATTGTGCTAAAAGAAAGAAACCAGTCGCAAAAGGTCACATATCGTATGGTTCCATTTATATGAAATGTCCAGAATAGGTAAATCCATAGAGGAGACAAAGTAGATTGCTGCTTGCCTGGGGTTGGAAGATATTGGGGGTAAATGGTGATTGCTAATAGGTCCAGAGTTTCTTTCGGGAGTAATGAGAATGTTCTAAAATTAGATAGTGGCAGGGTGGTACAACTCTATGAATTCTCTAAAAATTGTATACTTTAAATGGGTGAATTTTATGAAATATGAATTATACCTCAAAGCTGTTGAAAATAAATAATGGAATGTATATATA